TAATAAAAGTTAACTTTTATTTTAATGTTATTATCATATGAATGGTTTTAATTAGTCAATTAATTAAATTAAAGTCAATTTTTGTTTTTTTTACGTAAATTAATGATAAGAGTAGTTTATTACACTTTTAACTAGTGTCATAAAGATATAAAATAAAAAAACCTCTTTAAAAAAATTATAAACTTATAAAATTATTGTTAAATTAGTAATTTTAACAAAAATTATGATTGCAATAACCACAACCATCTCTTAGCTATATAGATTGGACTAGTATGTCTTTGATTGCAACAATTTTTTGAATGCTGTAATTGCATGCTATTATTAATGCAAAACAGAATTGTTGGAGTACAGGGCTTGTTCTTCATCCAATTGTTTAACTTGGCAATTTGGTGCAATCTTCATGTGACATTTTTTTGTTGTTATTATAACGAAATACCCAAAACATTTTGGTTATATCCTCTTAAGAAAAAGCTTTAAAATTTTCTGAATAAATCAGCGGGATAAAATTGAGATTGGAACACTAGAATTTATTACTAAAAGAATTCAATTTATTATTCAAACAAATAACAAAGAATCATCAAACAAATGAACAACAAAACCCACAAATCATCATATCCTTGTGATTCTATGTACCCGCAACACAATCCCCAACCTAATCTACTGCTTCAACAGAGCGAGAAGAGATACGATCAAAGATACCCCAACGGCGACACCAGAAACCGCCAGAGAGGATCCAGCACCGGGGAGAGGACCAGGAGCCGCAGCAGGAGACTCGCTGATCTGAGCCGAGACGGCAGCGAAAAGCGCCATCACCAAAGCCGCAACAAAAGCCCTCACGAAGCTGATCTGTGCCATTTCTGGAAGCTAAACGGACGAATGGAAGATGGACCGACGACGAGCGAGAGGACTTCTTTCTTCTTGCTCTGAGAGAGGAGAGGACAGGAGAGGAGATGTTGTGAGGAAAGGGTGGAAACAGAGGAGGGTATTTATAGGGTGGTGGTGCGGCGAGTGGGGCCTACTAAAGGGAAAGTGACAGCTGAGTAACGTTCACATAACAGCTGTGTTTCGGTGTGAAGATCGGGTGCATCTGCGTTTATTGTTTGAAAATTTTATTATTATAATATTATTTAATATTGTAAATATATAATATGATAGGTTAGTATATAATTAATTTTTTAATTTAAAATTTTATTTTAATATTATATATTAATTTATTTAATACCAAAATAATATTTTATTAAATACCAAATAAAAATATAAATTTACAATTTAACATAATATTATAATTATAGCATCATTAATTTTCTGTTTACGCGTGAAAATTTTTTTTCCTCGGTAAGGACGTATCAGGATATGACGCGTTGCCTGTGAGTTTTTACTTGGTTTCTTTAATGGGAACTGCAAAGTTTGGAAATTGGACTCGGTAGGCGGGCTGAATCAATGTCGTGATAAAAAACGATTTTTTAATGAAAATATATGTCGGTGGACTCACGGTAAAATTGACCTGGCCCATTTTTGACTCTTTGATTTTGAACCTGTTCAACTCTTCCTCTTTGGAACACGGAAGATCTGTTCAAATAAGAAAAAATTTGTTGTACGGTTGAGGGTTCGGTCTCTACATAAGAGCTATTCCTCTCGTTTAATCATTTTTATTTTATAATTTAATATAATTTAAATTATAAAATTAAGTTTTTATTAAATAAAAAACCAATATTTTATAATTCAAATTATATTAAATTAGACAATACTAACTATTAAATGAGAGTTAGATTTTTTAATACTGGGTTAAATCCCTTAATATTGAAGCTCTCCTCCCATCTAATGATCCATTTTGTATAGTTTGGTATAATTTAGATTGTAAAATAAAATTCTTTCAAATAAAAGTTAAACATTTAAGAAAATGTATTAATAAATAAGTGTTATTTTATAAATTAGATTTATGATTAAATCTTAAGATTAGTACTAAAAAATTAATTTTTTTAAATGTATTAAATTAATGTGAGAGATTGCTCAAGAAAATGTTATGATATATTAAACTCGAGATCTATAAAAGTTAGTGTGAAAACACCTACATTATATATATATATATATATCAGAAAACTGGTTTATAGTCAGTAGTGCAAATTTTTGGACGAATGAGAAAATTAAAATGACGTCGTTTAGTGTTAAAGTTCAATAACCCTAGCTTTTGTCTTTCCTTGACTTTCTTTTGTTTCAGAAATTCACAAACCCTATATACAAATACTCTCTCGGAATTCTTCATCTTTGCATCAATAACCTCATTCTCTTTTCTTCTTTGATTCCCCTCTATTTCTCTTTATTTTTTTTTTTTTATTAACCTCTCGGTATCCGATAGCCACATTGGGTCCCGACTAATCTGGTAACCACATTAGGTCCTGACTAATTCGAAATCGAGCTGTGTTGGACCCCATTAGGGGGAAGCTCTCCCAACATTTGTTTCTCTATTCACAAGACTCGAACTCGAGATTTTGTTTAAGAAGAACCGAGCTCATTTCACTCGAACCAACAAGTCGTTGGTCTTTATTTCTCTTTATTCAGAAATCTTCTATTCTATCTTTGATTTCCCAAACTTGATTCCACTTTTCTTCAATTTCCCCTTTATAAGATCTCTACTAGGAATCATTGAAAACTTTGGAGA